TGCAAAAAAGACCTTGTTCCTGACACGCGCAAGCAAAGTTCACTTCAGACAGAGTAATATGGTCCAAAGAAATCCTAAGAATATTTTTGCGATGCTTTTCTTCAGAGAAGAGCCTGCCCTTGTCACGAGAAGGTGAAGGTGTAGACTGTAGCCGTCGGGCTCTAAAATAATTGCAATGCTCGCGTTAGGTTGAATCAACTATTCCGCGATTGGGTCATTTGTGAGGGGTTCCTAGGGACTGTCATCGTCGCAATCAGTCGGAGCGGTGTCAGGAGAGGCAAGATGAGCCTCTTCTACGAGTGGTAGAAATACCAATAGTGATCGGTTAATATCGATCTAAAAAAATAACCAGGTGAAAAGGCCGCGTGTGCGAGGGGGGGGGAGCTCATTTCACGTCTGTTGACACCGCCCCGGCTGAATGCGACGATGTCAGTTGTGCAAGACACCAGACATCCTATAAACGTCGAGGTTTACAATTTGCTTCTCACGACACGACCCTGCCAAGGAATCTGACGATACAATGATTGAAGCCAGTTCGCGATGTCAATGTCCAGACGTCCCTTATGCAGTTATTTTGCGCGAAACAAATTGGCGCAGTTCAGCTACAGGGAGTCGGGGTTGTCTTGCATATCTGCTGTTTCCCATCAGACCACTGCCGGTTCTTGTAAAGAGCACCTGTCAACACTTGAAGCGCGGTGAACTACCGCACAAACACCATTTAAGATGGCGGCTCGACGAGGTTGCTCCAGCTTCATAAGAGCTCATAGCTTTCACCAGAGTGAGACTTGTAAACCGGAAACCCGTCGCCGAAGTGCGTCAACAAATGTTACGGATACGTTACATGAGCGAAGCGCCTGTTTCTTTTCACCCGCCCTCCCCCCTCTTCTGAATACGTAATTAAAGCTGAACTGGTTGACTGGAATGTGGTCAGTAGAAGCAGATTGCAACGAAAGCCAGATATTCGAGGAAGTGTTTGACGGCTGGCAGTGATTGCGGGCAGGGCACGCGCTCCTGTAAATACCATCGCTAGATTTCTTCTAGTGATATGGCGAATGTTTTCATTTAGATGTCGATTAGATGACGAAGCGTGTACCCCCTTCAATTCTTTTTTTTATTTTTGCAGATTTTTCATTCAGCCCGTTATTCCGTGCGAAATAAGTTGTACGGGTACGTTTCGTGATCGAAATTTCATCTATGTCTTCTTTTAGCGTGTACGGGGGCTAAAAGTACACGTACACGCTAAAAGAAGACATTGATGAAATTTCGATCACGAAACGTACCCGTACAACTTATTTCGCACGGAATAACGGGCTGAATGAAAAATCTGCAAAAATAAAAAAAAGAATTGAAGGCTGTGGACGCCCACACTGGACAATGACCTCAATTTTTGTAACCTTTAATCCGTCGTACCGACGCGCCTGGGCTCCCAAGACGCTTGTGCTTATGCAGAAACGCTTGAGTAATAGCTTATCCTTGATTTTCCATGTTCCCTGGCGGTTCTAAGCGACATGAACATTGATACCGAGCACCTCCTCCCTCCCGGGGAGACGGTCAAGACAATCGTAATTTGTCACGCCATGGTTTGCTAGGGTTTCCTGAAAGATTCAGAGACTTTGATTGAAACTCGTGGAAAATGTTCCAGTAAAGCGGCAGAGACTAGCCCTTCAATTCTTTTTTTATTTTTGCAGATTTTTCATTCAAGCCCGTTATTCCGTAATATTTCCGAAATAAGTTGTACGGGTACGTTTCGTGATCGAAATTTCATCTATCTCTTTTTTAGCGTGTACGGGGGCTAAGTACACCTATACGCCTAACCAAGAAGACATTGATGAAAATCACGAAATGTACCCGTACAACTTATTTCGCGTGGAATAACGGGCTGAATGAAAAATCTGCAAAAATAAAAAAAAGAATTGAAGGCTGTGGACACCCACACTGGACAATGACCTCAATTTTTGTAACCTTTAATCCGTCGTACCGCGCCCTTTGGCCCTCCAAGACCTTGTCCTTACCAAAACTGCTTAAAGGCACATTCCGCGATAAAATAAGGCTATGACCTCTCAAATGTGTCGGACGATCCGGAAGGCGATTTTTGAGGCTGCGCTACTTTCAAAATGTGAAAAACGGCAAGAACTCCGCTAGAAGCTGACTAATTAGGCCCATGGACACCCCTTAGGCCCATGCCGACCCTCACCGGCTGCTAGCTACTAGCTAGTAGCCACTATGTTATCTTTCTCTATAACATTTCGGACTGCTTTTACTGCTGCTTTTCTCCGCTAATCAGATACTTAGCACTTTTTTGTGCCTATTTGAGTTCCGTTTCCCGCAATTTGCGGTCGCGAACTGTGCCTTTAGAATTAATAGCTTATCTTGATTTTCATTTCCTGTCGGTTCTAAAGACTATGAACATTGATACAGCACTTTCCCCCCCCCCTCCTGACTCCCAGGCGAGAAGCCGTCAAGACAATCGGTAATTTTAACCCCAAGGTTAGCTAGATTTCTGAAAGATTCAGCAGACTTGATTGAAACTGTCGTGGAAAATGCTTGCCGGTAAAGCCGGCCAGAAGACTGCCTTCAGTAGCGCGAGCCCCATGTTGTTGAGCGAGACTCTTTGGAAACACCACTCGTCTTGGCCCACCAGTACCCCATCCTTCCTATTCTTGGGTTCCTGGAGAGGCGGTCAAGACAATCGTAACTTGTCGCGCCGTCGCGTGCGGCGCATGGTCTGGTAGTTAGCGCGGCAGTTCGAGTAAGGTGTTACATAGCAAGAAGAAAGCTGAAATCCCTATGATCTCTTCTGTTAACTTTACTAGTGAGAGAGATGGCATTAAAACATCGTATATGACTGCGAACTTATCAAGTTGCCGCATGCGACAGGCGACGCCGCAGACTCCGCCCACCAGGACGGCAGATTACAATTGTCTTGTCACATTTTCCTCCCCCCCCCCAACTAAACTATTTAACTATGGTATTACGATTGTGTCTCACTGCTACGGAAGTTTGATTTAGCACTCAATTGCCAGTGACTCGTTTCGCGGTCCTCTAGGAGTTGTGATGGGTCAAACACTGCCCCCATATTTTTGCAGGAAAAAGTTGAAAGACTCTCAGAATGCCTGTGAAACGCCCAAATGTGTACTATTCAATTATTGCAAAGAAGTGCATGCTGGAAAACCTGTCTATGCATCGGTAAGTTGAATGGATCTGTACTAGCCGGAAGATTTCCTGCTAAAAGAAATGCTGTTATTTTTCTTGCTATATTGGATCTTTGAGGCGGAGG